TAGGATAAATGGCTAAGGTAAAAGATGGATTAGAGAGTTTTGACCAATATGAAGATATATGTATTTTAAAAGATGTTCAGAGGTTTCTTGCACACCAGTACATCACCAACATTTGCCATGGTGCAAACGTTGTAATGAAAATTCCTATGCACAGAGTGGTCGTGGTTTTCAAAAGGCAAAATTTTGTGAAATTACAATATTTTGGAAATATTGGATATTTGGATGGATTTATTTTGGTATTTTGGAAGAATATCGAATTAATAAAAATAATATAAATAAATACTAATCAATGGCAATTTTACTCTTTTTGGTAAAGGAATAACTAAATTTGATCAATGCTTTAGAAACTGATTGGGAAGCGGAACCGCTTTGACTATCTGGTTCAAGTGGACAATCTTTTCCAATTTAAAAATTGAAAAAAAAAATCAAAACTGTTGTCTAAATTGAATGATTGATGGTTCAATCACCCGGGTTAATGGGTCACTAATAAAATCAATAATTTTTTGTCAAAGAATGGGTTAAGGGTGAAGTAGATCTGGTTGTCTGGACATATGGTTCCTGGACCAAATGGTCCGACATCTGGGTCAAATCAAATTTCGAAAAAACTGAATTTTATTGAAAACCCAAAATTGATGTAAAGAATTAAAAACAATTGAGAATTAAAAACAATTGAGATTGAAGTGTTCAAATGATTGAAATTTATGAATTTAAAATATTGGAACAGATGGGTTTATTGAATCATGTTACCTTGGCTTGTAGCGTAAAGATTCCTGGGTGGTCTACATGGAGTTGAACTCCCCTGGACGATCCAACTAGCAGAGAGCTGAGCTGAGGACTCATCCTCTTCAGACTTCAGCTTGATGGTCTATTAAACCAAATGGTATAAAAGATCTGCGCGTGGACCCCGTGAAAATGTGACTCACTGAATTATGTCTCTTCATTTTTTCTGGGCATCTCAGGCTCTATTGTTAGGAGGGAGGGCACCGGTCGCCCACTTTGCAACACTGCTCTCTGTTGTCCATCCACAGGAAAATGACACATAATTGAGGGCCCAAGGAGAAAGATATCGGAGGTGGGCCCCCATTTGGGTGGTCACATCATATCACAACCCGTAGTTGGGTGGTGGTGGTGGGGCTGTTGCTGCAATTGAGTCAGAGTCGGATCTGATACTTCAAATTCAAACCAACTAATATAAATTATATTAGTTGGGTTTAATAAAAAAGAAATTATATTTTCACTAAATTCAAGTCTTATACAAATAATTTTCAATTCATTTTGTTTATAAAATATAATATTATACATTTTAGCTCCATTTTTTTTATTTTTGCTAATTAATATCCGATTATAACCCGAAATTCCTTCGAATCCGATGGGATGATCCGACGATCCGTTTGCAGCACCACCTCATAGGAGGGGAGTGGCCGAGGTATCCGAATCTTTCTACCACAAGCCACAACGATCCCACACGACATTATAACGCTACATCAGGAATATTGCGGATATATAAATTATCATTAATGGAAAAATATTCTTAATGCACGGATGTAATCTTTTGTGAATACGTGTCAATGGCAGATCCGAACTCGTGGTCTAGTGAGGAGGGGCCGATGGATTGGCGGATGGCACGGCGGAGCCCCCAAAAAAGGACACGAACCCACCAGCACCACCGAGAATAAATCAGTTATTCCCGTTAGAATAGCGATGAGCTAAAACTGTGAGATCGCGGCCTTTGATGCATTGCTGTGGCCCCATCTTACATCAGTTTATCCCATTGAAGGGTCAATGCGGGGCCAAATCAATAGCATCGAAGGCCGTGATTCACTCATGGCTACTACAACGGGAGTAGCTGATTAAGAAGCAGCACCTCCTCACGGTTTCACCGTCCGTAGCTCAGCATCTGACACTCTTCAGATGTCTGTCTCTTTGTTTTTTTAGTTAATTGCTCTCTTTCTATTTACCTTATTACCCCTCCTCCCCTTTTCTCTCGCGATTACCTTATTTACTTTTCCCCCTCTAAGTGCAGATTTTTTTCTTATACATTTTTGTCTAGAAATAGGAAAACAGCCATCATGAATCATCCATTAAAAATTTTGAATTTATTTCGCAATAATGGTGGCATTTCGTATTTTAACATAGAAGGGTAGGAGCGTAATTTAGAAAGAACAGCATGTTTGTGACAGTAGTACATTAATATCCGAGGAGCTTCACCCAAAAAAAAAAAAGAATATCCGAGGAGCTATAATTAAGAAATATATTAACAAGAAAATATTGGAAAATGTAAGGAAGTACATGGGAAAGCGGGAAAGGTTCATTGGGTAAATACATGAGAGAAGAAAGGGTATCTCTGTCAGTGGCACTTTCCTATAATTGAATGCAGAGAAGGGAGAGAGAGAGAGAGATGGCCGTACTTGGAGCTACGTGGATTTCACGTTCTCGATGCTGTGTTGGTGTGTTGCTCTCGTAACGCCTGTAGCTGTATGTCCTCCTTACTCCTTACTAACTCTAGTTCATACTTCGTAGGTGAGTGAGGCAGCTCGCTGTTCCAAATTCCAAATTCCAATGGCTCGGCTTCATCTGGGCCATACCCGGCTCCAATGGCTCTGGCTCTCAATTTTATGGTATGGGCCATCATTCCATCAATAATCATATCCATACATACTCGTGTCGTGTCCATCCAACAGAACTAGGCACAATTTATTTGGAGTCCAAGTTTTGGTTGGACTTGGGCCTAAATCTTCTAACTGAAGGTCAGGCCCGGCCTCTTGGAACTCCTTACTGCCACTCATAAAAGCATATTATAGAACGAGTTTTTCTTCATCTTTTTTTCTTGTTTCCTTTTAAAGAACAAGAGCAAGGATTCTTCCAAACCATATAATATTTTTGTTATGGGCACTCTTCAATTGTTTGCCCTCATCAATAAAAAGTTTATTGTATTATCCCAATTATACGGGGTTGGCTATATTATTTGTGTTCCAATTTATTTCATTTTGTTTAATGTACATTTCTCTTTTTTTTTGGGAATAATTTATTATTAAATTATGAACACTTAAATAATTTCTTATTATTTTCATCCATTTCGGTATAACCCTCACTGTCAACTCGTAATTATATCAATTATACATTGCTTGTCCTAACCTAAAGCCTAATAATGGAGAAGGGTTATGTCACATTGGCAACCAGCACTAAAACTTTTGCCATACTATTAGAGTCATGGATTATGACTTATGATTTGACATTTTTAATTATTCATATAATAATAAATAAATAACAGGATTAATTTGTGTAGGCAAAATATTTTCTCAACCAATTCCAAACAAGTTAACAGTATCTTTTACCAAATTTATTTGTGGAACTAGCATGCCCAAATTTGGTTTGCCATAAAATTAAAAGAAAAAATTGCAAGGTAAGTATTGTTTCAATTAAACAAGCAGTCCATCTCATATAAATCTATAACTTAGATTTCAATTGAACCAATTTACATATATATCAATCTATTTTGTAAATAATTATGTTAATAAAAAGYAGTTTTATCTCACCTATTTTCATTAAGGCCCCGTTCGCTTTTCGATAAATTATTTACCTGTGTAAATATATTTATCTATGTTCTTTTATTTTATAAGTAAATAAGATAATGGTCGTTTTAGTCATAAAAGCTATTATTAAAAAGGGTAATTTTGTCCTATCCAAATATTGACAACTTTCCCATGAGTTGGAAAGTTACTTACCCCCCTCCCCCTCTAAGAGATGGATATTGCTTGCCTCACTTATTTGAGTAAGTGATATTCATGAAAAATAAGTTTTTCATAAATTTGAAAAAAAACATAGATTTCTCGATCAATGAGAACCAAAAATTTTATTAACCAACTTTCTCTCTCTTAAAATCCAAACAAACCCTAAAAAACATTCATTATTTTTATATGCAAATCCAACTAGCTTAATTGAGAAAGAACTTGTGTGAGGAGAGAGGGTTTTGAGGCCCATATCTTTTTCTTTTATATATATATTTTTTTGATAAAAAGCCTCGTATCAAATCCCAGCCCCCAATATTTTAACTCCCCATTCATGCCCATTTGCTTCGTTGGTAGAAAAGGAAGAAAGAAAAAAACTCAGTATGAAGATTTTTATTTACCTGTTGTCAATGGTTACCCTAATCCAGAGTAATAGTTACATAAATCTCTTAGATTGGTTTATAGTGTTCTTCCATTATAGAAAAATAGTTATACACCCATGATTGAAAAAGGTATCACTACTTTATAAAGAAAAACCAGAAAAAATAAAAGAAAATAGATGAAATTAAACAAACCTTTTGAATATGTTAACTTGTTTAGTTGGCAAAGTAGGTGACAATTGATCCTATTATATATGAAAAAGAAAAAAACATATTGGATCACAAATCTATGGGTTTGTAACAGCTTAATCACGCACTCTAACCTTTCCAATCCCCTCTCCCAAAAAAAGGAAATAAAAGAGAAAAAATGAACTAAAGTTTAATACTCGTACGGTTGCAAATAGTTCTAAATTCATCCAAGATAATGCTAAATGTCACTCATCCTGAGCTGTTGATCGCTGGCTTTAACGAGATGGGTCCTGTATCAACAGACCCCTTATTTTTGGACCCCATGAGATGAAAGATTGAAAGTGTAGAGTGTAGACCCAGACCAGACCAGACCAGACACCTTGGCTGGCTGAAAAGCCAGCAAAAACAAGTGGCTCAAAGCCCCAAACCAGATACAGGCTTTGTAGCCAGTCTCTCTTGTTTCATCATTTCCGAAACAAAAGTAAGAGAGAGAAAGATTGAAGTCCTCTGTCTTTGCTTTTGGTTTTTTAAGTATATTTTTTAAGTCTTTATTTTCCCTCTACTGTCTTGTCTGACTGTCTTTTCCTCGGGTAACCCAGTCTTCTACACTGGCCAAAAACAAACTTAGCAGTCTTTTGTATCAGACCTTCTCTCTCTCTTTTTCTCTCTGCAAAGATATATAGAGTCCATAAGAAGTCTCTGAAAAAGCTTTTACAAAACTCTCTTCAAGCACTCAAATCAACATTGTGACCTAACTTAAAAACTATTAAAGCCACCCAAACCAACAGGCCAAAACACAGCACCCCCTTCTCTCTCCATCTCTCTCTCTCCATGGACTACAATCTGAAGCAATGGAGAAACCAGTATGAGTCAGAACAACCACCTTCTGCGAAGATACCAAGACTACTCCTTGAATCCCATCAGCAACCATCTGGGTCTGCCCTTCCATTGTTTGTACCTGAACCCAACAGCAGGATCAGCAACCTGTCAGCATTTCCAGATTCAACAACTACTACCAGATTTCCCAGTGCGTCAATTTTTTCCCTTCCAGTCCTTTTTATCTCTTCTCCTTCTCCTTCTCCCGTAGTGACAGAAAGTTTTATTCCCCATATAGAAAGGCTATGTGTTATTTCCAGACTTGCTCCTTTTGTTCTTTATTTTCTTTGATGGATTCTCTTTTTATCTTTGGTGCTTAGGAATGGGAGGTTATTTCAGCTTGGCTCAGTGGCAGGAGCTTGAACTTCAAGCTTTGATTTTCAAATATATGTTAGCAGGGGCTGCTGTTCCTCCTGAACTACTTCAGCCCATAAAGAAGAGCCTTCTCAGTAGTTCTGCATGTTATCTTCAATACCCTTATCAACAGTATCAGCACTATCAGCCTTCAAGTGAGTTTCAGCTTTCCTTTCATGTTTAACACTTCTTTCTCTCTTCATCTTTTATTTTCTTGCTCTCCTGGTTCTGGTTCTTTTTTGATTGATGATTCTCGGAGAAAAATAGACATTTCTATTTTTTATTTGTTTTCTTGTTGGGGTCATTGCCTTATTTTGTTACCCAAGCTCTTGAAATGTCTCCCTCTGTAGTAGTTGTTTTATGATCTACTGGTGGGAATCCTTTCATGTTGTTGTAGAGGCCTTTTGACCGGTTCTATCAAAAGTTGAAAACTTTCTGTTGTTTTTTTTTTATATTTGTTCATTGATTTCTCGGGACTTTCTGCTAGTTTTCCCATGGCAAATGTATGTTTTGAGCTGGGTAGTTTTTGATTTGCTCTTGATATCTCCTTTTTGTTTGTGTTTTTTTTGTCCATGATCTTTTCATTGTTTTTCTGGTCTCTTGTAGGCTTCTTTTTGTATGTGGTTTCTTTTCTGTTTCTTGGATGCATAAACCTGTTTTTTTTTTTTTTTTTTTCGAGTATCAGAAGACATAAATCTGAAATGAGGTTCTTCTGAATCCTTTTCTAGATTGACTCATGGTCAAGGTGGTCACTTATTTAACTCTATTGGGTTCTCTTGATTTATTTACTGATGCAAAACCGGGGTCTGGACGTGTTCTTCCAGTGTTACAGTCAGGATACTGGGGAAGAAGTGTTGTAGATTCTGAGCCGGGCAGATGTCGGAGAACCGATGGAAAGAAATGGAGATGCTCAAGAGATGTGGTGGCTGGCCACAAGTACTGCGAGCGCCACATGCACCGAGGCCGCAACCGTTCAAGAAAGCCTGTGGAAATCCCCACACCTGCCACCGCAACAGGTGGTGGCTTGAAAAACACCATTCCTGTTGCTGCTTCGCCCTTGACAGCGGTGGCTAGTGGGTCCCATTTCGCTCTTTCGGGGTCATCACCTTCGATAGATCTATTTCAACTCAACCAAAGGTACCGTCTCCTACTCATTTCGGATTGTCCGAACTCTTATCTTGTTTGTCATGAGAAATGGCCATTAAAATTTTTGATACCCATAAGTAGATTTCATTTGTTGAATAACCATGATAAAGAGTTCGATTTGGTGGAAAGCAAATCAATGGGCAATTTCGACTTGTTAGCTGCTTGTTTGACTTAAGGATTGGAATGACTAGGTGGGATAAATCTGGGTTCTGAACTGCTTATGCTCCTTTAATCTGCTCGAATGGACATGAAGATCCAGCTGTGAGAATAAATGGTGGACACTGGATAAATGCATGTACGAAGCAGTACAAGAGCAGGAGAGCGGCCATAGTTTGATGGGTTCCAGCTGGGAGATAGATATCTTCTGCTATCTCGGCCAAGAGTTGGCCTAATAATGGAATCAATGAACCTCCTTTTTGATATCTAGAACTAGAATTTGTGGCTCGACGATTCCTGATGTTTCGAAAAGGGTGTGACTGTGAGGCATTGGATGGCTGGAATGGAATCACCTGGATGGGTTGCTTTGGCCCACCAAGGTTTCCTTGGGCGGAAGCCAACCGAATGGTCGGTCGGACTTCCTTCCTGCATGCCGCGGCAGGTACCTTGGGGCATCTGTTTGTGTCTTTATGCGAAATTTGAGTGTGTTAAAGACATACCCAACCCAGCCTTCTTTTCCTAAAGCGAGAAGCTGTTCTGCACCACTGTTCATTTCTTTTGCTTAAAATCTAGAGAGATGATTTTCTTTGCTTCAAATGTTTGTGATTTGCAATGATGTTCTTTTTTTTTTCCTGATGCTTCTTTGCCTCAGATCCTCAGAAGGTACTGGTGGAAGTGGGGTCCTTGTTGAGACCCACCAAGACAAAGTTTCTGCAGATGGGAGAACAGATGGAAGGATCCTAAGGCATTTCTTCGATGACTGGCCAAGATCACATCAAGAACCCAACAGTGTTGGCAGCAATGCCAGTCCAACCACTTCCACAACCTGCCTATCCATTTCCACTCCGGGGAATGCCACATCGGACTTCTCCTTGAAACTCTCCACAGGCAATGGAGATGAGTCTGGTGGGTCTCGAGATGTGAATGTTGGAGGGGAGCGGCACCAGTTGAACTGGGCGTCAGGATGGGGGACACACCCTGTTCCATCGATGGGCGGGCCGCTGGCTGAGGCTCTGCGGTCTTCAACCTCCAATTCTTCACCCACGAGCGTTCTGCATGAGTTGCCACGAGCTACCACCATATCTGAGACCAGTAGTGTTAGCACCTGACTTCAATCTCACTTTGCATTTGAACCGCGAGAACCCTGTTTTATTTTTTTTCCCTCCTCCCCATTTCATGGTTTGATTGATTTCAGATTTCAGGTTGGTTGGTTCATGGTGAGACTCGGTTTCTCTTGCCCAGCAACGTTTTGTAAAAATTGTCTTAAATCAATTTTCTTTTTATCTTTCTAATAATGTGTGGTGTGTGAAGCCGGTGGATTGGTTGATGATTGTTGTTGGGTTAGTCGAGACTGGACTATTAGAGGGGAATGTTGTGTTGCTTTGAAGGAAGCCTTGAGCGGGTATGTTATGCTCTGCTTGTGGACATATCCAGTTATCCACCAAGAGGCTGCAGAGTCCTGACTGACTCTGTGCAGATATACTGACCATGTGTATGCTGGGTCCTCCTCCCATAATGCTCTGAGGCTCTCCAATGGGCGGACATCAAGTAAATTTACAACCCATTTTAACTTTGTGGGTAAGAAATCAATTTACCCCCCCAGCTTACCCTATTGTGTTTGTGGGTTAGCCAGTTACCATGTTTGGGCCCACCTCTTTTTAACTTTCAAGTGGGACCAGTAGATGCCTCTCTTCAGCAGCCGGCCCGCCGGCCCATCTGTATGTATTACTTGTGTGGGACTGTAGATTAATACAAGCCTCATAAAAAGTAGTCTGCAGTTTGGATGAGAAGTAACCAGGGAGGAGGAAGATGAGTTTTTCTTGCACCTTCAGAGAATGTAACAAGGTTGCATTATTGACTAGCAATAATCAGCTATTGAAATTGAAGTTGTTTTCGTCCTTCAAATGGATTCGTGCTTGTGGTTCAATTGTTATTCTGTACTACTACTATTCCCTGCACTGATTATCTCTCCATTCCTTGTACCAAAGGTGAGATTATTAGACTATGGTGTATATAACAAAAGAGAACAGGATGTCTCMGATATGGCCTAATAAGTTATTTGCAACTCGTGAGACATCAATGGAAGAGGAATAGGGCCCCAAATTTGTGACCATGCTGAAGCAGGGGTTTGGGTTGCGCGTTTCATTCCTGATGCAAAAAAGCTGGCTGCCCTGGTGATTTTAACAGTCCCAACTCCTAATGTAGTTGATATATTTTATTAAGCCACGGAAAAGGCCTTGACTAAGCATACAATGTACTAAATGCTAGAAAAAAAGATATTCCTTTTGTGCGAATTACTGTCATTAAATAAGTTATAGTTCTGATGACATGCCGCAGACCGGGACCGGCTACCCACTGTAGCCCAATGAAGCAAAACAGAAAAGATTTCTGATACTCTGAACTCTGAAAAGATGGTCTTTAGTGGGCAGACTAAGGTGGTGCTTAAGTTGAGTCTTACTTGAGAGGAACATTGTTTTAATAGAAAAATGGGATTTTATGAACAAGGATAAGCTGCAAATACAAACGTGTAGACCAGCTACGTACTTATAAGTGTTATAACAAGTGAACACGTCAGTATTCTGTGCATGCTTGTTGCCTGGTTCACACACCATTGTTCACAGAGAAATTCCCACATTGGAATTCATGGGCTTTGCTAAAAGGTGCTGGGACACCGGACACATCTATGATCCATGCCATTATATGAATTATAACTGTATCTCTTCATATGGCTTATAACTGTATCTCTATGCTCATGGAGTCTGGATCTGTTGTTAGTAACAAACAACGCTAAGCAGATTGGTTGTCACTGTTCTCAACAGCTTTAACTAAAAAATGATGTGCTAAAGTACATTTCTCATGTGTTGAGGGCAGGTGGCACATGTGCCTAACATGAAAAGACAAAAAGCTGCACACAAGCCACCCTGTTGATATGGTTGCGGCTGGATTCCACTTCGGACCATCTTTTGGCAAACAAACAGAATACCAGTGAATCTCAAAACCCTGATTGGTGTGGTGGGTTATACCGTTATACTTATTATGTTCAGATTCTCAGGCTAAGCAGAATCCAAAACATCTAATAAGAAGGGCATTATGGCTTTCATTGGATGATCTTGGYCAACCATAGAAAGGCTGGGCTGACAACAAGGAATGGTAATACCTATTCACAGTCTCGGGAGCTAACTTCTAGAGTCAATCAGACCAATAATTCTGGATCAGTTGTCTTAGGGTTAGGGTCATCCATTTGGCCAGGGCATTGCTAAAACCGTGTAGAATCCAACTATCCAAGCTACAGCGGTAAAGATGGATGATTCCAAGATTTCTTCCCGTGCTGTATTTATTATACACCCCACTTTCTTTCTCGTTACTAATTGCTTGAAAAAAAATATAACCAGGTTAGTTAGCGAAAAAAATATAATTAGATTAATCAGAGGCCCAGAACACGGAGTAAATTCACAAAATTTTAGATCAAGTTAATCAGAACTCAGAAGGCATAGTGAGTTCACAAAGATATAATCTGAACCTTCTACCCTGCAATTTGCAATATAAAATTACCAATTGTGATTTAGCTTGCAGTAGACAGTAGTTCGGATCAAACGACAAACATTGGATAGACATTACTTTTTACATTGGCTAGGACTAAGATGGTGCGTGCCCGTGCCCCATGTGCAAAACAATAACCACATCACCAACTGAGGGGTGGAGGGGGTGTTTGGTACATTGAAATATTTTGAGTATCAATACAGTGAAACATTTGCATTYTGGGCTGATCAATACAAATATTGAGAGATCTACCTGAAATGTTTCGAGTTGATCAATACAAATTGCAATTTATGACAATCTCACAAATTTGTATTAATCAACCCAAGGTTCTAAATATTGATACGCCGATAGGAGCATATCGGTATTTTTTTTTTCCTTTTATTTTTTCAAAACTGGTTCATGGGGGCCGGTTTAAGGCTCCACCCCCTGAACTGGTCAGAACCCCGATACACCCTGTAGGGGCATATCGGGGTGCTCTCAAAACGATATATATTGACTGATGCAGGCCGTTTGAACTTTGGATCAACCCAAAACCAATGGCATTGCAATACCACTGCACACCCCAAAATAGGGAGTTTCTGCATAACGTAGATATTTTTGTTTCAGATGATGTATAGAAAAAAAAAACATTTTGAAATAGAAAATAAAGGCTAATACATTTAATAGGTGAAAAGTCAAAGGTGAAGATCTTGAGACTCGGGGCGGGGGAGAAGGTTAGAAAGGAAAATACAATCGTGAGAATGGATTAGAAACTGCGACTTCTAGAAGATATGATAAAATGAAGCGAAGTAGATTAACATGACCACCCGCTCTACCAACAAGAGGTCTGACACAAATTAAAGATTCTAGAAAAGCAAGGGGAAGGCCTACAAATGCATAGGTTGAGGTGGTGAAAGATGACTAACCACTCATAAATCTGATTAGCGGATGTGGATTTTGATGATGATGATGATGATGGCAATGGCATGCATCGAGCTGACCCATCAGTTGGTACAAGGCTTAAGTACCTGTATAGTAGGGCTTTCAGCGGTGGCTTCTGGCTTTGCAAAATTGGCCCCACAAAGGCAGACTATAAGCAATGTTGGGTGAAAAACACAGAAAGCCCCAAGACTTTCAGTTTCCGCCTAAACTTTTGGCTTTCCAGTGAAGCTTGTTTTAGTTGCTTACTTCAAAGCTTCTCAAGTTAAAGTATCTCAAAGCTTCAGCTCTCCTAAACGGGTCCTAAGTTGAATCAAACTAAAAAAAATGAGAGATCAATGACCAATGTAACATTGCATGGCAGTGACGGGCGGCTTTCTGGGCTTTACGATGACTGCTTTAACTTATCTTGAAATAATTTAAGTATTAAACTACTGCAATAGTTAAAGATCTTGAAATAATTTATCTATGGAATATACATCGACGGAAGTCTTCCAAAACATCCTTGAGGACTGCTGTAACTTATTTCACAAGCGGATGGACATTGAAGGTGTACAAAACTCCAGGTGAAAAGAATTTCCGAGGCTTTATTGCTTTCATGCTTGACACCATCTCGCGGTTTTGCTCTGCTGCTTGATTTCATTTTTAAATTTTCAACTCCATCTTTGTACCTCTGGATGCCTAATCAGCCAAGGATCTGACTATGCCTTCAAGTGCACACATATTTCTATAGTCCTGAACATAAGACCAAGACGCTAGTCATTCACATTCCCCCCAGTTGGTATAATGTAGAATTATCCTTCACAAGAGGATGCAAGTTATTGCTTACACAAAAATGTTGCCTTTGATGGACAACATCCACAAATTTTAAGGGGCTTAATTCAGTCCTCTGCCAGAGCATAGACAACTGCTGTTCTACTTGGGGCATATACTCGGAATGATCGTGGTCGGTTGTCGTGCTGGTATTCCTGCAAAGTTAAAATGTTAGATTTTTAGTATCTTTTTTAGATCAGTTGAAAATGCAAACAAGATCAGCGGTAAGAGATGTCCCAATTTAATCTCCTTACAGAGCTGAAATATTCTGCAGTGTGATCAATTCTACCAAAACCACCGAACAATTTGTCATCCGAGTCCAAAACTACCTGTGAGGTAAATCATAATAGAGTTTCATTTTCATTGTCTTGGAGAATAATATATTATCAGTGTAAATGAATCCACACCGACTAGCAATTAGGATGTATTAGCCAAGTCAAGGAAGAAAATGGATGGCCATGATGAACAAGACTAGGTTCCACAAATCAATAGTGCATGCTGCATTGATATTAAAACTGGTAATCAAAGCCCTTGAATTCCTTGTAGAGGCCCACCCAAAGCCTCCTTCAAGGACTGTTACAATGGTTCTACTGGAATGATACGATACACCTGATACATCCCATACATTACGATTTTTTGAACCTTGCTCTCCATTTCCCTGCCAAGGCCTCCTTTGAGGACTCTATGTTCTAAAGAGTCCTACTACTGCATTCTTAATCTTTCCACAGGTTCCAGCATAGAGCAAGGGGAACTAGCTTCCATAAAATTTTGCCCTTCCTGCTGAAAGCTGAAACCATGTGTCGGCCAAGAGGAGAACAAGCACTGAAGTCCCCCAGAATTGGTCTCTGTCATGATTAGCATAAACCTTATTCATGGACATTTTAGCCTAAGAATTAAATATTTTGTACACATATCACGAACTCGAAAGAGAAGGGTCCCCTTGAATGATGTATATATGATGGAATTTTGTGTTTTCATATGAGATTTATACTTGGTTACTTATTTGAATGATTTTATTGCTAATAGGTAGCATACAGGCATGTAGGTTAGTATAGCAAACTAATAAAGTAGCTTAGGAGGGGTAGGGATCTTTAGATTACTTTCAAATTCCATTGCACAGGCGCTTGGGCACCCCGTGGTCACCTAGGCTCGCCTAGGCGTCTTGACAACTATGGTTTAGGTTTCTTGTAGAAATCACATACGGTATCCTTCTTTTCATCATTGCTCTTATTAGCTGAGGTGGAATTTCCTTTTGTCTTAACACTTGCAGGGCATAATGCTATATAGCATGAGTCTGGAGATATACCTAGTGCCTACTTTCCTCAATGAACTTGAGATAGGGCCACTTCATCTTAGCAAAAATAGTCATCAGGTTGTATCATGCATAGGATTTGGTCCTATTAAAAACTCAAATACCCTATTTCTCTTCTCCACTAGTTTCTTGTATGTGGCTGCATCCTTAGTGCCCTCCCACACAAGTCTCCAACAAGTCAATCTCCTGCCATAATGCATAGGATTTGGTCCTATTAAAAACTCAAATACCCTATTTCTCTTCTCCACTAGTTTCTTGTATGTGGCTGCATCCTTAGTGCCCTCCCACACAAGTCTCCAACAAGTCAATCTCCTGCCATAATGACTTAAAGAGTATAGTACAAGGTCAAAGTCTTCTCCACTTGCTTTAGACTATTCACCTCACACCTTAGTTTGTATTCCTTGGCTACATTTATCTTCTGAAAATAAGTTTCAGCCAAATTATCCTAGATCTCCTTGGCTGTTTTCACCCAAGATAGTTTACTATATGCATTGCATAGAATTGAAAATCCATGATACCACCATGCAATTCTCCTGCATCCACTTATTGTAGGAAGGATTAGACCTATCTAATTGTGTAGTACAGTGTAGTACTGCTAGTACGATACCCCAATTTACCATGACCACCAACATAAATCTGGATAGACTGAATCCACTCCAAATAATTAGTCCTATCTAGTCTAGCAATAATTGTCATCATCATCATCATCATCATCATTATCCAAGCCTTATCCCAACCATATGGTGCTACATGAGTCCTGTTTTGCCATTCCATTCGGCTGGGAGAGTCTTTTTGGCTTCTCAGCTCGACACCTCTTCCTCCTCTCTTCTTTCTCTCTCTCTCCTCTATCTCTGAAGCTGGTTCGACTGATCTATTTTCACATGGTATCAGAGAGTCACTAAACAGGAGGAAAAGAGACTACAGTTTCATTTGATCAGATCCTCCTCCTTTCTTTCTTTTATTTATTTTCCGATCTGCGCAACCTGGAGTAGGTGTGTGAGAAGGCTGCAGCAATCCACAGAAGTCTGCGGTAACCTATTCAGGTGTTCCTAGGGTTATGGTGGCCTAGTTACAGGTGAAGGGGGAGTGCAGCAGCCCTAGTAGGAGATTTCTTGACTGCTGTCACCATGTGTGACAGCCTTAGTGGTCGTGTGGTTGTAGTTGTGGTGGTCTGAACCCTCTATTGAGCAGTTTCAAGAGGGATTTTTTTAATGGTGGTTATGGCTTCCTATTAGAAATCGTTTTTTATGTTAACAGAAGTGGCTGAATGTGTGCTTGGGTAGTATTGTGGTGATTGGATGATGAGACGCTGTATGGTGGTGAGTGTGTTGGTGTAGTACTCAAAGAACAATAATCGACGTGTTTGGGGCTGATATTTTTTTTTGGACGGGCAGAACCAGTTTCATAGATTGAAATGGCGTCAATGGGAGATGTTAGTGGTGACCATAAATCAAGTGTGATGATTTCCTCTAACTTTTTAAGTGTGCAGATGACGTCCATCAAACTCAACGGTGAAAACTAAGTGCCATGGGCTAAGTCGGTGGAAGTGTTTCTTAAGGCTAAGAAGAAAGTAAAACATGTGCGGGAGGAGAAACCTACAACCGAATCTTCGGGTTTCAGTGATTGGGAGCAGGAGGATGCTCAAATCATGACGTGGTTGTGGAACAGTATGGAACCTAAAATCAGTGTTAACTTCATGTTTTAGACACAACAAAGGAAATATGGGAGCACACTAAGAAACTCTATTCTAGACAAGACAACACTACAAGTGTTTATCCGCTTTATCAGGAATACTCCAGTTTTCTCATTGGGATGCAGTCCTTAGAATTGTGCGGTATTTGAAGGGGGCTCCAGGCCGTGGGTTACTGTACAAGCCAGGAGGTAGTCTTGAAATAGTTGGCTATACAGATGTAGATTGGGCAGGTTCAGTATTTGGAGGAAATCTAGTGACATGGAAGAGCAAGAAGCAAACTGTTGTAGCAAGGAGTAGTGCAGAAGCAGAATACAGGGCCATGACACACACTACATGTGAACGAGTGTGGTTGAAAAATCTTTTGCAGGAAGTCGGGTTCTCAATAAACAAACCCATGAAGCTATACTGTGACAATCAAGCTGCAATTCACATCTCATCCAATCCAGTTTTTCATGAGAGGACTAAACACATGGAGGTAGATTGCCATTTTGTAAGAGAAAAGTCCTTAATGGTGTCATAAGTACAGAGCATGTGAGAACAAGTGATCAGTGAGCAGACCTATCCACGAAAGGGTTGAGTTCGGGAAGAGTGAGCTATATATGGAACAAGCTGGGACTATATGATATATATTCTCCAACTTGAGGGGGAGTGTTAGAGTCGGATAAAGAAGGGTATTTCAATCTTTTCAGCATCTGTTTAAGTAATATGTTAGTTTCATGTCCCACACTTAAGTAGGGGCATATTTGACATTGTACCTTATTCTCCAACTTGACATGGTCGGTTTGGCTTCTTAGTTCGACACTTCTTCCTCCTCTCTTCTTTTTTCTCTCTTTCTCTTCTCTATCTCTAAAACTGGTTCGACTTATCTATTTTCACACATATATTCCATTTTAGTCCTACTTAATCTAAAACATTTCTAAGGCATTTGTCCACACACTTAATTTTGCATTCAATCCTTCATTAATTTCATCAATTAAAACAATGTCGGTGTTTTAAAAGCGCAAGGCGCAAAAAAGGCCTAGGGGTCAATTTGCGCCTAAGGCGCAAGGCGAGTGCGCAAAATTATAAAAAATTCTAAAAAATAAAATAAAATGTCAGAAAATTCAAAAAAATGCCAAAAAAAAAATACTAAACATAATATTAATAAAAATATACTTAAATTTTAAAATAATGTTTTAAAAAACCTATTATCTAAAATTAAAATACATAAACATAAGATGTAATTATGTAAAGCATATTCAAATGAGAATTTAAAAATAAAATAGAACATATAAAACATTTTCAAGCATTTAAAACCTCTAATCTCTTTTTTCACTCAATTGCATTACTTCACGTAGCTAATGTAATGTAAAACATATTACATTCCTGATTCTACGAGCCGCCTTTGTGCCACGCCCCTTGAGGCAAGTGGCATGGGGGTCCGGGGGCAGAGTCCCCGGGCCAGTCACTGTTCAAAAAAGGCAAAAAAGCGGCAAATTTTCAAAAGGCGCACGCCTAGGCTGCGGCACAAGGCGCATCAGGCGCACTAGGCGTGTGCCTTTTGAAAGGACTGCGCCTAGGACCTAGGCGAGGCGCATGCCCTGAAATGTGCCTCGTCTATGCGCCTAGGCGCGCCTTTTAAATCACTGTGTTGACAACAGACAACATGCACCACGGGACCTCCTAAATATGTTTAATCAATTCATCTATAATCAGTGCAAATAAATAAGGGCTAAGTGTTGAATCTTGGTGAAGATCAACCTTAACTGTAAAATCTGATGTCTCTCTTGCAAGTTCTAGTCTAACAATAGTCACAACATTGAAAACATTGTTTTTGGACACTATGAGTACAATCCCAAATTCGACTCTACTTGAAATCAACTCCAAAAATGCTCTATTAAAATAAAGAACCAACAAAAATACCACCATAAACAAGACTATGATATACTAACCAAAAGAACTTAATCTCTAGTCAAGAGCATAGAGGAAACTAGGGTTTCACCAACCCCAGAACCTACGAGAAAGAGATAAGATGGAGCTGCTTCTTCTAGTCTTCAAAGAAGGCTTCCCAGTGGTAGGGGTGCTCACGATTCGGTTAACCGAACTGTGGGGTATTTTTTCAAAACGAACCAATCTGATTGGTTTTTTAAATATCAAAATCGAAACCGAACCGATGCAATCGGTTAACCGCTGGACCGTGGTTCGGTTTTTCGGTTTTTTTATACACTTAAAATAAAAAAATAACTAAAATTGTCGATGGTTGCTGGTGCCGAACTGCTGGTGCCATTGGTTGTTGTCGGTGGTGGACTGGTTGGTGCCGGTGGTTGCTGTCAAGTGTCGCCTGA